TGTGTGTGTGTGTGTGTGTGTCTGTGTGTGTCTGTGTGCGTGTGCGTGTGTGTTTTAGGGGAGATGGAGCAAAGGCTCCGTGGTTAAGAGATTTGCTGTTCTTACAAAGGACCCAAGTTTGATTCCCAGCTCCCACATCAGGTGGCTCACAACCTCCTGCTAATCCAGCTCCAGGAGATCCAACACCTCTGGGCTCCATGGGCAAACCCACAAACAGATGCATACACCTAATTAAATTTAAAAAAAAAAATTTTTTTTTTTTTTTGAGCTGAGGACCAAACCCAGGGCCTAGCGCTTGCTAGGCAAGCGCTCTACCACTGAGCTAAATCCCCAACTAAATATAAAATTTTTAAAGTTTTTTTTTTTTTTAAGAAATAATATTGTCTTTTCTAGGCTCTCCCTCTGTTATTCGGGCACTTAAGGACTCCATAAGGAGACCGGTGCCTCTCCCTGGACTGCCCAGTGCCATCCGGCTCCCCCACCTTCCCTGTCCACGAGCAGCCTGCCTGCCTCCAGGGAAAGGAACCAGCTTTTTAGGCCAAGAGGGCCATCCTTGCCTTACGAAATGCTCCCTGTCGTTTAAGGCCACAAGTGTCACTTCCTGTGCCCCTCCACCCCTCAGGCACGCGCGCCGCTCTGCTCCATACTGCCTTGTGTCACTCCCGAGGGAGCAGGAGAAGGTAGGGTCAGAGTTTTAATCCATCTGGGCTCCTAACTCCATCCTGTACCTGACTTAATGCTCCTTGACAAGCCCCAGCAAATAAATGTTTTCCTTGGCTGAACATAATTGATGCACACACCCCCTTCCCAGCATTACCTAATTCTCCTCCATCATGGTTGGTTCCACCTGGCACAAGAGGCCTCCACCTGCTGCCCCTTGACCTCAGGCCCATCAATCCGTCCCTCTCCTTCAGTACCTGGCTGACAGGGCCTCCAGATTGGCGCCGATAAATAGCCTCTGGCCAGGCCTGTGGGAAGGAGAACCTGCCGGGTGTTTCCTGGCTCGCTCTCCCTCCCTCCCCTCGCTTGCCCTAGCCGCTGCCATCCATGAAGGGGCGACGCTGCTCCGCGCAGCTGCGGCCCTGGCCCAGAGAAAAGGTGTATATCTCCGTGGCAACCCATCACCATGCAACAGGGTCTCCCGGGATACGGCCTGGGATGCGCTGACGTCAGCACCGAAGGCGCTAGCGAGCCAGCCCGCTGGCACCAAGCCGAGCAGAGCAGACCGGCGCGGGGGCGGCCTGCCGGATAGCGCCTCCGCTTGCAGGAAAAAGAGAGTCCGAAGCAGGATGGTGAGGCAGAAACAGGGAGGGGGTCACACGAACCCTAAATGTGAACATTCCCCCCCCCCCCACACACACACACCACACACACAAACATGCACAGAAAAGGCCCAGCACCTCTGGCAAGTCCTGGCTGTCTACAGAAGAAGGACGCGGGGACCGGCTCCAGCCTCGGAGAGTCCGAGCAGATCCCAAGGAAGACAGAGAAAGACCACGAGGGAGTTCGATCCACTCCACAGCCCAGGCAGGGTCCGAAGCCACTGAGGAGCGGGAGGAAAAGGTGTTCGTCTGGATCCCCACTTCTACCAAGCAAGATCCCCATTTTCTTTTTTTTTTTTCCATTTTCATCATGTTGCCATGTCATTTTTTATCACCCTTCCCCCATCCCTCAGGCAATCTCAGACCACCACGTACTCTCCCGTACCCTGAAACCCCCATCCCCACATTTCTGCCCTTTTGTGGCAGTTCAATGAACTCCTTCCTCTACAAATATTTTGCCATCAAAACGTAAGGTGAAGCCCAAACGTGGATAAATTCTGACTCTTCCCCAGTTTCTCAACCCTTGGAAAGTGCATGCAATTCTCCCACTAACACTGTCGCCATCTCCCACTTCCCCTCTCCTCTCCTACTCCCTCCCTCTCTCCAATCTCAACTGGTCTGGGACTCTATTCTTTCCCAACAAACCCATGTTGTTGTTGTTTTTTTAAGTTTTCGCCCTTGTAAGTCATTCCCTAATAGCCCCAGCCTGAGTCTGGATCCGATAGCTACACCACAGTGATTTTCCTCTCGGTATCTGGTGTGCCTTCCTCCTCAGCTTCCCATCACCTCCCAGATCACATCCATGGTCTCTGGTCTCACCTCTGCGACTTGTCTGACAAGTCCATCTTCCTCCGGGCCCTTCACGCTGCCACAGAAACATTTTGCCCAGCACAGAGATCATAGGCATGCTGGCAATGTCGATGCAGAGAACCCAAAGCTCGAACTGCTTCAGGCTCAGCTCCCAGTTCTATTCTTGTTTTGGCTCCGGATGCTGAGCCAGTCCCCTCCCCACTTGGAACTTGTGCCTAGTCACAGAAGGAGAACACTCCTCCTGTCTCCTGGCTTTGAAGAAGTGGGAGTACCAAGGGCCTAGCCAAGTTCTCTGGGGCTTGGGGAGCCGCAGCCCGTCCTTAGCTTACACAGTACCAACTGGCCATGTGCAGAACAACTAACCTTTCAGCTGGAGCAGCCGGCTCTGTCCCTGAGCCTCAGCCAGGTGGTGGTCCCCAGAAACGCTACCAACCAGAAAGAAGACAGGTTACTGGCCATCCCTGACCCCCGCTGGTACCTCGGGACTCTCAGGGCTAGCGCTAGGTCCAGCCGAAGTCTTTCCTCACTACAGAAAGGGATGGCTTTCTGAACTCCAAGCAGACCAGGGAAGTCACGGCACCCTGCTGCTTCTCAAATGCATAACCCACGAGAGAGGTTAATCCCGTGGACTACAAGTCCCAGAATTCATCAAGGGAAGTACAAATCTCAGCCAGAATTTAGTTGTAGAGCACCTCAAATATCAACCACACTGATGTGTTGTGTGACTGACCACCTGCTTGGAAAGCCTAGGACCCATTCCAAATCCATTCCTTGACATAGAAGCAAGGTAAGCTGGCAGACCTCAGATGGGATGGCCAAAGCTAAGGCAGTGCATCCCACGTGTCTACAGGGAGACTAAGGCCTGAGCAGGGGTCAGTGGCTTTAGGAAGACCTGGTGGCCTGCCTGGACTTTTCCCCCCAGAGTAAGGGTGATTTGGGGTGGGGTGGGGTGGGGTGTTATTGGAATCAAGTGTCTGTGAGCATGAGAGATTTATCAGTTTGCTCACAGATGCTCCACATGGGGCTTCAGTCCCTTTAATCAACCAGCTGGTTCTGAAGCCCGGAGCAAGTATTAGGCAAAAACTCCGAGGTAGGGTAGTTGGCCAGTTTTTCCAGGCTGACTCCTGAGGATGACAGCACCCAGCTGGGAGAGGCAGGATCGCAGCGAAGGGTCCCTCCTAAGACAGTGAGGTGAGAAGTAGGTGGAGGCAGAAAGGAGTATGTAGATACAGAAGGCTAGTTGCCAGGAGCCAGGACGGTGGAGGCCGCAGGTTGCCAAGCGGATCCCAGGCTGTGGCCCTGCAGCCACCCTCAGCAGCAGGAACACAGAAGGCGAGCATACCACGGAAAAACCCAGCGGAAGGCAGGCCACGGAAACAAGCCAGTCCATTAGATTAGCCCCCTCCCGGTTCGCTCATCTGGCCCGACCCGCCTCCCCGGCGCAGGCTCCTCCCTCTCCTTATACCAGCCCCCTCCTCACCGCCCCTACCACCCACGGCCCCACCGGGCAGCTGTGGAGCCCGACTCCCTATCCATGCTCCGGCCTCCGCCTCTTACCCTGACCGGCTGAGCGCCGAGAGCCAATACAGCCCATGGCAGGGAACCCAGGCACGCTAGCCCGCGCTTGGGACCCGGGCCATCGCCTTGCAGAGGGTCGGGCCGCGGTCACCACCGGGGAGGGGACAGCCTGAGAGGAGGGGAGGGGGTGGGAGCAGCGCGTCTGCGGCCGCTCCCGGGAGAGGGGAACAGGGCCGGTGACGTAAGCGCGGGGCCGTGCCCACCCAGCGCAGGCGGGGCAAGCCTACGTCACAGCCACTCAGTAACAGCCTAGGTCTTCAAACAGCCTGCATCTCCAGTCCACTGCGGAGCCACGCTGAAGACAGAAGCCGGTCGGCCGTGCGGGCATTCTACACAGGACAGCCCTTTAATAGCTTCTATAGCTTTAAGGGTCTTAAACCCCAGGGCCGGGATCAATCGGAGCAAAAGTCCTAAGTACCCTACTGCACTAATATTCCCACATGTCAAAACGGAGAGCCCAACCCTCCAGAAACCCAACTCCCTGGGTTCCCAAAAGATACACTGACTGGCCGTGTAAGAGGCATGTATCAACACTGATACAGTGCCAGTCTAGGAAGGAAGATGTCCACCTACCCGTACTCCAGCGGAGATCAGTAAAGAGGCGGTGAACTTAATTGAATTCATGTTTAATAATTACAGGCACCGTGCCCCCCCTTCCCCCTGCCCAGGCATCAGCAGGGGTGGTGCAGGGGCTGGGGCATATGCCCCCAGCAGCGAGGACGGCAGTCCCAAGAGTGATTTCAGAAAATAAAAAAGGACCCTAGAGGCAGGCGGTAGTGCCCCTCCCCCCTGCAAAGACACACCAAATTTCAAGACTTTATATATATCTCTGTGCCCCGGGGGAGGAGAGGGACACTTGGCAGCATCCTGGAGGGGGGCCCCAGGCAGCCCCAAGTCATCCTGCCTCATCAGCCACTTTATTAGCTCAGACACATCGCACTACAGGCACCCACTGCCACTGCCGCCGCCGCCGCTGCCGCCGCCCCCCTGCAGTCCAGGCGGCTGGCTGGCTGGGCCATCCACGTGTCCATGGCTCCAAGTCCCCGGCCGGCCCCACCCGCCATCAGTTGTGGTCAGACTCCTCCTCCTCAGCCTCGCGGAGCCAGTTGAAGAAGGCGGTGACAGACTTGAGGGCCACGCCCTTGCCCTGCTGCTCGGCGGGGTCCTTGCTGGCCTCCCAGCTGTAGAAGGCGTCCTCCTTCACCACGTCCTCATCGTACAGAGCATCAAAGAACATCCGCAGCAGGTCTGCAGGCCACAAGGACACCAATTAGGTGACTAGTCTCTGCCAGAGATCCCTCCCAAACAGACTCTGAAACTAAGCCTGACCTACCATCCTGGCATTCAGTGACTCGGACAGAATGCTAATCTCATGACACAGGAGACTACCAGCCTAAGAATGAGTCACGTGGCTATTAGCATCCTTAGAAACAGGCATGTAACCCCAAATATTTGGGAGGCTGAGGCAGACAGATAAGGATCAAAAGTTCGGGGCCAGTCCTGGTAGCTTAGCAAAACTGTCTGAAAAGGGGAGAGAAAATGAGGCCAAGCGTGGTGGCACACACCTCTAATCCCAGCGCTCAGGAGGCAGAGGCAGGCGGATTGTTCCAGGCCAGCCTGGTCTACACAGCGGGCCTATGAAGGGGCAAGAATCAATTCTCCACTTTTTGGCTAACATCAAATGTAGAGTCACAGGAAAGAAAGGAAAATTGTTAGGCACTGGGGTCCACAGCTGTAAGCCCATTACTTGGAATATAGAGGAGGCAAGAGGTCCAATGTCAAGGCAAGCCTAAACTACATAACTAGTTTGAGGTCAGCCCAGACTATTTAAGATTGGATCTCAGAAAACAAAATGAAGAGCTGGAAACCAGACATCTGAGTTCAACCCCGAGTCCAGCAGTGGAGCCAGGACAGATCCTGACAAACACCCCTGAACCCTCTCTGGCTTCTAGAGCGCGACACTCTCAGGCAGAACTCCTCGGGTCCCGTCTGTCCCATTCCGCCCAGCTACAGCAGGTGAGTTAGCCTAGGGACCTAGGCCTAGCTGTAAGGTGAGACCAGTAACGGCTCACCAATGAGCTCAGGCCACAACACGCCTCGGGCACCCCACTGTGTGTGGGCACAACCAACCCTGGACTTAGCCCACATTTCTCCTCTGAAGCCCACTCACATTCTGAGGACCCTATATAACTGCTCAACTACTTTGCCCTACACATTTAAGTCCACATTTATCCAAGTTAAACATAGAAGCTATCTTTCAATTACCCTACAGTTAAACAAGATTCTTATACCGTTCTCTTCCTGTCTTAGCCAACCATCTCAATTTTTCCATTTCAGAATCTGACCCCACTCTACAAATATTGTATTTTACTAAGAAGATCTCAATGTTTTAATCCAAAGTCTTTGTTAGGTAGGCTCCTACCAAACTCTGTAGCATCCAGCATTTCCCACCACTTCCCTATCCTACATTTTCTTTGGTTCACTGGGCCCTGCTCTATCTGCATGCCTCCACTTCCCCAATGATCTTATTCCTCAGGGCAATCCCATTATCCTTTTGTAACAACATGTTGGAGAAGGTGAGAGTCCCAGCAGGATCTTTCCAGGCAAGAAGCCTGTCTCCCCCACTGTAAAATGGAAGTAAACAGCTAATTAACAACATTTTAAAGGTATTTATGCTTCAAGTGCTGTTTTGGATTTTGTTTTTGTTTTGATGTCTGTAGCCCTGGCTGTCTTGAACTCAAGAGATCCACCGTCCTGTCTCCAGAGTGTCACCAAGACCAGCTAGGGGTTAGAGTGGAGAGTCTCTGAAACGGCCCCATCAGCATAGGTGGGCCTCTGGTGTGAGGATCACAGGGTATGGGCACCATGCTCAACTCAAAGTCTTTGCTTACAACCCCACAAAAGCCTCATTCCACCCAAAGCAAAGCCCTGCCACTACTTACACGGCCTAAGAACCTGCGGCCGGCCTGTCCACGTCTCTAGCTCCCTCTCATGACTACTGTAATCTGCCTTCAGCAGCTCTTTTCATGTCTTCATTCCAACTCAGGGCCTGCCTGCTTGCTCTGCCGGTCAACCATTCCTACCCATCACCTCCCAGACCAACACTCACACTGTCACTGACTCCAGGCCAGCACAGAACTGTGCTCTATTTCCTCGCTACAGTTACCTAAACCCAACCATACCCAGGTGCTGAATTTGTAAACCTCAGTCTTCCAGTGTGGAAAAAGGAGATAAACCCACAATGGCTATGAGATAAGGCAAGGTAGGCCAAGCATGGCAGCCTCGGGCCAGACACAGCATGTCTGAAAGACACTGTTGTTCATCAGCTCTGTGTTGCTGTCACCTACTGGCCGAGCACAAAGCCGGCAGGACATCAACCCTCAAGGCTTAGATGAACTCACTCCACTGTAGGCAAGAAAACATGCACTGGGTAGGTAAGGCATCGATCAAACCTCAGGGCATTTTGTTCTTCGCCCCCCTTTCTTGGGTTGAGTACCTTCCATGACCACCCTCTTCTATCTGGCAGTCCCTCTGCCCACCCCCACCCCCCCTTCAGCCTGGCTCTTACTGGCAGGCTGGTCTAAGGTCACTACAAGGGCCTGGAGGGCGTAGAGTGCTTGTAGCTCCTTCTGCTCGTCACTCAAGTATTTCTGCAGCAGTCTCGCTCGCACTTTCAACACTGCAACATCCACTCGGAGAGGATTCTCAACTATGGGAGACAA